GCTGGAGGCGCCTGGGCTGGGGGTGGGGACTGGGCTGGAGGGGGGCCTGGGCCCGTGGGGGGCCTGGGCTGGGGGGGCTGGCCTGCGGCCAAGGTAGAGTAGAAGACACCATATGGCATTAACTTTCCAGTGTAGCATCTTTTTTCAAATGCCAAATTCAATAACATACACCAAAAATGCATTTATCCTTATGCACCAAATACGCATTGGATATTTTGTAGCTAGTGAGTTAGACGAAACATGACTTCAATGATGCACTAGATAAAAATTGTATGTCAAACTTGTAAAATAGAGAGCATGGTACATGTATTGGTATGTAGATAGTTGGATAAAGCATGAGTCTTCATTGCCTACATTTAAACCCGAAGAGAAAAAAAACTTACTATCACAATCATATAATGTTTTTGATTAAAATAAATTTGCAACTAGTAGAGATTTCACATACCCCTTTAAAATTTTATCAGCAGGCCATGCTACATTACTTGAAATTGCTTCTTCAATGGTACTCATCTCACTCGTTGGCCTCCACAAGAAAGCGTCCGGGTGTTTTGCTACATCCACCCACACTCTCACTGCATTCGGTCCAAGAGGTACATGGTGAACGAGGTCTTTCGGGTCGCTTGGCATCAAACGCCCTTCAGCAACAACTTCTCCAGTTCCAACCCAGTCTAATAGCTTACACTTGTTGGTAAGTTTGGGTAAATTAGTACTCACACTCTGCCAATAATACAATGAACATAAGCAATTACAAATAAACAAGCTTTAGTATATGGCAAACTTGATTTCATCCCGTTTAAAAACTTGAATACTTAGTAATTGACTTTGATTGCTTACCACTGGTGAATGCACGTTTGCAGTAGATTGATCCTCACTTCTGATGCCACTTACTTGACTTTTCAACAATAGAGAGATTATCTCCTGCAATTCTTTGACATCCGCTTCTGTTTTGTTGCATTTATCTTGTAAAGCCTGCAAGTTATCATTCCGTTCTGACAAAATAGAATGTTTTATCTTAGTCATCCCAAGGCCCAATGCTCTCATGCGGCCATTCCCGTCAGGACCAAAGTAAGAAGCTAGAGCATCATCTAGCAAATCACTACGATCAGAATTGGGTATCTCATTTTGTATTTGTTCCAAATTTCCCTATCCCAACAATGAGCAAAAGCATGGAAGCATAAGCACAACAATATAGACATTGATATACAACATTACGA